GAACCCAAGCACTGCCAGGAGTGATTGATCCCTAAGTATAGAGCCAGCCTGTTTTTAAATATCACTGTATCACTGTGATCCTGTTAGTCATTGATTGCCTCGAGCAGGCTGCAGTAATGTCTCCTTCGTCCTAGCCCTGAGATTTTAAAAAGTGCCACATTCGAGGCTCTTTCAGGGTTAGGAGAATGAGACCCATCATTGTTACTGGTTTTTTTTTTTTTTGCATATTGAATATGCCATGGGGAGTTTGCCAGACTCTGCCATGTGGGCAGGATACTTTTGGTAGCCTGCCAGGTTCTCCAGAGTAAGACCTAGATAATAAGATGTCGGGAGCAGGGTTTTATAGTCTCTGGGTCTTGGCCATTGATGGGATTACATGGCGCCGGGGGCAGTTGGTGGGTGTAATGCCTGGAAGATGGGGGATCTGGGTGGAGGAGGCCCTAGTCCCAATCTGAGCAGGCTTGGAGATCTACGCCCTGGGTCCTGCACACCTGGGTTCCTCTGCTGGTTCCTTTATGCATGAGGCTTGTCCGAATGTGTGGAGAGTGGTCTTAAGCATGACTGTGGCTAGAACTGGAGGTTTTCAGCTGCTGGGGCTCTGCTCAGGGTGGGGAGGGAAACTCAACCCACCCTCCTCCAAGGGGCCCCAGTGAGGATAGTCAGGCATGGAGGCAGGAGACTCTGCGCTGTTCTCTTCTGGGAACAGGGTTTTATAGTCTCTGGGTCTTGGCCGTTGATGGGATTACACAGTTCTGGGGGCAATTGGTGGGTGTAATGCCTGGAAGATGGGGGATCTGGGTAGAGGAGGCCCCAGTGTTTTTAAATAAAACATTTACGAATGTGTCCTGTTATTTTAAATGAAAAAGTTGCTATGGTTTCTTTAGATAGATATCAAAGCTTTGAGAAAAATATTTTCCATCACTGGAAATACTGAAATAGATTTGAAGACTTATTTAGAGTGGTGCTAGAGATTTGAAGGTGGACATGAAATATAGTAAAAGATGTATATTTGGTTTTTTTCCTTCTTCTGCCCAGAGTTCCTAAAACTCTTAAGATTTCCTAAGCTATGTAAGTCATAAAAGGTATCCCCTATTGTAAGGACTGGTTTTAGGAAGCAACAAAGGATCCCCAACCAAGTTAGCTGGTTGCCAGTGATGTGGCTGGAGGGTCAGAACTTGTTTTTTAAATTTTTTTTTATTTTATAACGTAGTTCAAAATATTTTATTATATTTAATATTTAAACACCAATACCACCACCATTATGCCTTCCCACCACTATATTTTGGGTGTTTTCATCCTCAACCCCAATCCTTGCCCAAAAGTAGAACTTCCACATCCCCCAATCCTTGGGGAGGCCAGGGTATTGGAGGTTAATGTGATTCCCAGTAAATAATGAGTGTTTCAGTCATGCCTGTGTAGTGAAATCTCAATAAGAAGTCAAAAAGGAGGCAATATTTCTGACAGCTTCCAGGTGGACATGTGGAAATTCAGGGCAAGCTCCCTGTTCAGAGATCCTGGGTTCTCAGTCTTTTCCCTGTGTTTTTGCTGGTGCGTTTTTTCCATCTGCTTCTTTCTGAGTTGTATCTTCTTATCATAAACCCAGTATCTAGGAAGTACAATGTTTGAGTGCTGTGAGATGCTCTCATCAGTGCATTGAATCCAAGGGGGAGGAATGGTTGGAAGGTCTGGTCTGTTGTCAGCTGATCAGCAGCACAGCTGACAGTGTGAATTTGTGGTTGGCTTCTGAGTGATTTGTATGTCTGGGTGTCAAGGTGTCTTACAGCAGTCTTTTCCCACGAGTAGGACAGTGGGTAGTGTCAGAATTGAGTTAGTGTCAGGATTGCAGGGCACCTTGATGATATGTAAGAATCCTTGATGATGTGGAAAATCCTTTGTGACAAACCCCTTTCCTTACTGGAATTGTTAATAGAATCTGGGTTGGATTAGAGAACTTCAGCTTCCATTCTAGTTTAAAAGAATTCAAATTTTCAGCTCTCGAGGGTAACTGCACACCTATGTTTATGCAACACATGTGGTTTCTGAAATATTTGCTCTCTTATGTTAATTTATTCACTGTCTTCACTATCACTATCACTATACTTCCATTGTTCATCTATTTGCTTGAGCAGGCCCCGTAACATTGTAAAACCTGTTACTGTGTTTGGCATATCGAATATGTCATGGGGAGCTTGCCAGGCTTTGCCGTGTGGGTGAAATACTCTTGGTAGCTTGCCAGGCTGTCTGAGAGGGGCGGAGAAATCAAACTCGGGTTGGCCATGTTGGCTGCATGCAAGGCAAGTGCCCTACCCACTGTGCTATTGCTCCAGCCCATTCACTGTTTTATGGATAGAAAAAGGTTTTACCTAGAGTGCCTGCATGGGGATGTGCTAAGAAAAATATGTTGGGAGGAAAAAGTAAATGTTTTTGTTTCTTAAAATAGGAATCACACCTAGCAGTCCTTGGGAACGACTTCTGGGGTATCACGTTGCAAGGTTGGTGGGGACATGTGGTGTTGAATCTCAAACCTAGGGCCTCCTAACTGCTAGTACTGTGCTATTACCCCTGAGCTATCCTCCCCACCCTTAGAAATTCTTTACTTGAATCCAATACCAACTACCTACGCTCTCATAATCACTACAGATTTTATTTTATTTAATTTTTTTTTGTAAAAATGTGGGATAAAACTATTATGTGAAACTTTTCAAAAAGGTTATAAACCAATTTGGGGGCTGATAAAACAAGGTTGTGATGAATATGTAGTGAAATATGGGAACCTCTATCTTTAAGCAAGATAGAGGTATTCTTATTTTTAAATTGATTTTTGATTTCCAGGTCATTGAAGATTTTCATGATTTTCATGCAGTTGGCTCGAGCGGGCCCAGTAACGTCTCCATTGGAGACTTTGTTGTTACTGTATTTGGCATATCGATTACGTCACGGGGAGCTTGCCAGGCTCTGCCGTGCAGGCGAGATACTCTCGGTAGCTTGCCAGGCTCTCCGAGAGGGGCGGAGGAATCGAACTCGGGTCGGCTATGTTGGCTGCATGCAAGGCAAACGCCCTACTGCTGTGGGTAGGGCGTTCGCCTTACACGTGGCCAACATGGCCTACCCGAGTTCGATTCCTCCGCCCCTCTGGGAGAGCCCGGCAAGCTACCGAGAGTATTCGATATGCCAGACACAGTAACAACAAAGTCTCCAATGGAGACGTTACTGGGCCCGCTCGAGCAAATCGACGATCAACGGGAGGGCCTTTACCTTTACCTTTACCTTTCATGCAGTTGTAAGCAATAATACAAAGAGATTCTATTTAAAGTCCTCCTCTCCTCCACGCAACTCCTCATTCTTTACTGCACCCCTCACAGATTGGAATCACACAAAGCTATTGTGTATCATCACAATCAAGATTTTAATGTGGAATTCAGGCACAAAACAGTTTAGTCCCCACGAGCAATTCTTCCTGTTGCTTTTTAAAAATAACCACACTCACTGCCCCATCTCACCCTTTTTTTCCCTCCTTAAGTGAACTATTGTTTTTCATTTAAATTGGGAAAAATTTGTGGGTTTCCTGTTGTGCTGCAATAGAAATAGGGAAAATTCTTAAGTCACAGCAATAAAATTAATGAACTCCAAATAGTGAAAAATTCTATAGCAGAAATATCTTTCTTTTAGAGAATTTAGGAAGCCTATTCTCTCCCAGGACCCCAAGACATAATTCTCTGACTTAATTGTTAGCTCCTCCCTCTGGAAGGGTAAAGAGGGGGGACAGAATTCCCCAAATCCTCCCTCAGTGACGTTTCTGCTCAAGTGTACTTTCATTTTTATTGAGTTTGGGGTTTTAGAAATAAAAGTCACAGGTTCAGTATACTCTCACTGCTTTTGGTCCCTGCCATGTTCCTTTGATGCATGAGACAGTTTCCTTCCTGGATGAAGAAGGAAAAGTTCAGGGCCCTTCTCTCCCACCCCTGACGAGACCCCAAGTTGTCATCCACGAGCAGCTACTCCGGCTTCTTATTGAGTTCCTTAACAGCCATGACTCCAGAGGCTCACAAACCAATCTCGGAACCCAGTGGCTTTTGGCAGAAATCCCTCCATACTTAATTACTAAAATATCAGAATTCCAAAGTCGTGCAGCCGTGATTGTGGCCATGTGACATCATATGCTCTTCATAATCAGCAATAGAAAACAAATTATCTAAGGATGCCTTTTCAGCAGGTCTGATTGTTGGGGGAAAACTCCAAATTATAATGGTGGGTCTTTTGTCGAAATACTGAATGTAATCAAAGTAAAGAGTAAAGGGGAAATCATCTGCCACACCAGCAGGGGGAGGGGTGGGATGGCGGTTACTGGGGTTCTTGGTGGTGGAAAATGTGCACTGGGTGTTTGATCATTATATGACCGAGACTTAAACCCAAAAGCTTTGTAACTGTTCTCATGGGGATTCAATAATAAAAAAGAAAAATAAAAAAAATTTCAAGGTTTAAAACATTTTTGATTAATTTGAACAAATGAATGTTTGTATATTACTTGAGTTTCCATGACTAATTAAAGAGACATTAAAAATGATGATAATTTTCAATAAAAAAGGAAAGTTTCAAATAAAGGAAGAGATGAAAAATGCTAAAGGTCATAGTCAAACTATTCTACCCTCTTTAGAAGATTAGAGAGGTCATCTAGGAAAAGAAATTGTTTTGGAAGGTAAAACCTGGGCATTTGCAGAGACTGTTTTGACCTAGGTCCACAGAATGCTGTGATGTCATCACTGAGGTCAGAGAATCTTTCAAGGGCCTGGCGCCCTTTGACCCTTAACAGACCTGCACTATAGTGAGCTCTGGGCAGTGCTGCTGACTCTCTAGGTGCTGTAAGGCCTTCAGCCCTTGAGGAGACATGGCCATTTTAATTTGTAGTTGATCAATTCAATGAATTTCCCAAAAGCCAAGAAGATTCAACCTGTAGGGAAACAGGAGGGCAGTGGGCATCTTTAAAGGGACTAGCAGGCACCATGAAACGGCGGCAAAAGAGGAAACATTTGGAAAATGAAGAATCGCAGGAAAGTGCAGACTGGGGAGGAGGTATGTGCTGGGGGACTTGTCTTGTGTGCCCAGGTCACTGGCCTACTCCACATTTTCCAGGGTGCAGGCGTGGAGGAAGCTGGGAGGGAAAACTGTTTGTGACTAAGGATCAAATCCACCTTTAAATAGGTGTGAAGGGTGATGACACAAAAAGTTCAGAAATCCCCAAATTGACAGGAAATGGAAAGTCAGCCCCTACCTGGGCCTGCTCAGATCTCACCAGACTCATATAAGATTGGGGTAACCCACACATGGATGGACTCAGATGTCACTCTTTTAGTCTCTTTGTTTTTGCTCCTTCACTTTTTTGTTTGTTTGAGGGTCATACTTGGCTTGTACTCAGGCTTTACTCTTGGCTCTGTGCTCAGATATAATTGCTGGCAGAGTTCTGGGGCCCATATGCAGTGTTGGGTTTATTGAGTGCAAGGCAAGTGCCCTACCTTCAAACTATCTCTGTGGCTCTCCTTCTCATCATTGGATCTTTCCCTGGTATCAGTGACTGTGGTTGTTAGGCTCTGGAGAGAGAGAGAGATCTTTGGAAAGAGAAACCCAAAGATTTAAGGGCCTGGTTAAAAACCATCTTGAAACATAATGCTTCCCCTGGAACATAGGAGAAAAATTGGTTTAGAAATGGCATCACATGGGAAACATAGAGATTTTATTCCCTCTTCAGTAAGATTTACCAGTTGATCCATGCTAAGTGTGTACATCCTTGGTGTGATTCCCCAGAGCAGGGGAAGGGAAGGACAGGGCATCCAGACACTGGTGAGGGAGGTACATCAAGGCCCAGGAAGAAGGGGTTTACTTTTCAGGCTGTGTTGTAACTTCTTGCTTTGGTCCAGAGAGCAGGAGTATGGACAGGCATAGGAGGTATGATTGAATATAATATAGCCCAGAGAGCCAGCTAGAAATTTCCAGGACCCTGATGTCTACAGGCTGAGCATCACAAGGGAAGGTGGGAGTGGAGCAGGCTTCTCAGCAGTGGCTGGGTCAGGATGGGGAAGGCAGTGATTGCCCAGACCTTCAGCTTCAAAATCTGTGTGTGTGTGTGTGTGTGTGTGTGTGTGTGTGTGTGTGTGTGTATGTGTGTTAGAAATTGCTGCAGGAAGTTGCAGATGGAAGTTCATCAGAAGCTCATAAGATGTTAAGTCTCTCTTAAGGTTCATGCCATGGTGTCAGTCTGGTGATTGGTGACACTACACCCACTACAGAATCTTTGTTAAGGGTCTATCATACAATGATCACTCAGGCAACCCACATGCTTTAGTGCAGTTACACAGACGCAATTTCTTTATTCAACCACATTAAAACCCTTGAGGGCCCATGCACACATGATTACTATACTATGTTCATACACAGTCCATGGTTATCCTAGGCTTCTCCTTCTACAGCCAACTCTGGAGAGAACATATATATGTATGTATATACATATATATGTATATATATTCAGGGTTTCCAGATAGACCACACCACAAGGCATGCTTCTAAATTTCACATAAGCAATCTTTCAATATAAGTATGTCCCTAATAGTGTTTGGGCTATATACTAAAAAGTTATTCATGATTTGGGACTGGAGTGGGTAAGGCACTTGCCAGGCATGTGGCTGACTTTGATTTTAACAATGGTATTGCATATGGTTTCTAGTGCACTGCTAGGAGTGATCCCTGAGCTAGTGCCAAGAATAAGCCCTGAGCACCACCAAGAGTGCCCCCCAAACAAAGGCAAATAAAACAAAACTATGGTTTTACTTGAAATTCAGATTTTTACCCAGTGTCTTCTGGTTTAGTTTGCTAAATCTGGCAACCCTTTAATATATTCCACCAACCAATATGTTTTATACTTAATATATCTGTTTTGAGAGTCTGTCATCCCCTGAAAGAGGAATTAGCATGATCAGAGTCAAGGAGAGTGGAATAAAGCCTGATATATAGTAGCTGCTGGTTGCTATAAAGTTGAATGAATGAATGAATGAATGCCATAACTATGAACCTTACCATACTGATAAACAAGTTTCATGGTACAGTGCATACATAGATGCTCCTTCACACACACACATATACAAACATACACACACACACACACACACACACACACACACTTCTACTCTGCTCACCACATGAGTGGCACATCTCTCCAGCGTAGTTGATAAACAATGCACTCTCACCTTAGATATACTGTCACCACTTAGACCCACATTCTTAATAATACATTAACAAAATAATCATTGATTATAATTAAATATTGTGGTTTCTATCAGAAACCAGACTTCAAGGCTGGTGTATTTGCTGTGCCTGACACATGTCAGGCCCTCTGTAAATATTTTTGGAAGGATGACTGTTAGAAAAACATGCCCAACACTCCCCAACACTCCCTTTCTTTGAGGCTCTCCTTCCTTCCTCAGGAATATTCACGTCACCAGAGGAAGCCTCTCAGCGTGGATCCAGTGGGGTAGCCAAGGGCTGGAATCTAGGAGTCAGGGAGGTCTCCTCAATCTCTGAGTACTTCTCCTGTGTTTCTTTTCCACGCAAGTTCCTCCATGGTGGTAAGGTTGCTGGGCTCCTTGGGTGCACATGGGGCGTTGGGTGGGGAAAGAGCATGCAGATAGAAGCATGAGTCAGACAGAAAACTAGACAAGGGAAGGGATCAGGTTTATCTTGAGAAGAACGTCAGAGCCCTTAGGTGAACATGGACAGGAGCTCAGCACAGGAGCACGTGAGCCCTAGTGCCACTGTGATGGAAACAAAGGAGTAGGGGCCAGGAAAGCATGGCACTTTGCACTGTAGCTCTCAGAGTGGGACCAGAGGGTGCACCTTTGGAGGAAGTTTGAAGGCTTTACCTTTGCTTTGCTTCCAGAGTAGTAGTTTCTCAGTGCAGGTCTGGGCACTGGAATGGACCATCTGGACCAGGTGCACACCGCCTGTCTCACATATAATCAATCACATTCCACACTCACCTGTTCTCAGCACACACACTAAGTGCAAATGCATGACCCACAGCACCATCCTCCTTCACCCCAGCATTGCACAGGGAAACACATCCATGCTACCAAACACACACACACACCTTCCTCCTAGCACCTCTCTTGGCCAGTCCCTCATGTACTGCTGCCCTGACTCCACCCCCTACTGGCAGATACACAGGTGAAGTTTCCCCAGATGCAGCACCCCATTCTTGGACAGCCTCACTCACAGGCCTTCCCCTCCTGGCAGCCCCCAGATCCTTGTCTCATGTTGTTCTTTACCTTTTCCAGGAATATGGAGATTACATCATGATAGTTCCCAGCATAGATCCCCCCTGTCCCAGGTTCATGAAGAATGGGAAACTGCTCCTCACTCCCAGCACATCTCCTTCTTGTCCCCCTCTTCCTATAAGACCTGTATTTCCTCTCTATATGTGAACAAAGAAGAAAGTGGCATGAAAATATACTATATGAAGGTACAAATGCAAAATGGTGTAGCTGTCTCTTGGGAGACCGAGGAGACCTCCATGTTTGTTGAAAAGCTGCCAAGGATGGAAGAAGGGACCATTCCTGAGGACGTGGGGGTAGGTAATACTCCGTCTGATGTGTCCACCAGAAACCTCCTGTCTGACAGCGAACCCAGCGGGGAGGAGAAAGAGCATGAGGAAAGGACCGAGTCAGACAGCCTACCAGGGTCCCCTGATGTGGAGGAGAGGCCTAGGGCCAAGACACCTGACTGGCTGGTGACTGTGGATACTGGCTTCAGGTGTATGGCTTGCTGTCGGGTCTTCTCCACTTTGGAGATCCTCCAGGAGCATGTGCAGTATGGGATCAGGGAGGGCTTCAGCTGCCACATCTTTCACCTCACCATGGCCCGACTGACAGGCACTGTGGAATCGGAGAGCATGCAGGAGGAAGAGGAGGGTGATGGGATCGAGGACGAGGATGAGGAGAACAAGGAAAAGGCGAAAGAAGAGAAGTCACAAGAAAAGGAGAATGATGAGGAGCCACCCACAGGGAACACCCTTGGCCTGAAGAGACCCTTGAGCCAGTGTCCAGGCTGTGTGTTTCATTCTTCAGAGGACAGGAAGTGAGCAAGGGCTGGGACCGCCAAGGGACTGGGCCTTCTCCAAGCCTGTACTGTTTCTCCAATGTAGGCTCATGCCTCTGTAAGTGAGAGTTGAAGGCTTTGTCAGCTCAGGGAGCAATGGAAGGGAGTGGGGATAACTGGGATTCTTGCTTCTTGCTTTGGTATGTCTCAAGTCATGAATATAAAAGGGAATTTCTTCAGAGATTTTCCAGCCCTCACAAGGAGTTCTGAGAATTTTCAAGGGTCAACAAGAGCACCTTTCCTCTGTCACTAAGATATGTTTTTGTTTTGATTTCTCCATAGCATCTAAGATTGAGGGGCCAGAAGATCCTGGAAGATGGTATGACCTTCTATTGGGAGAGGTATGGCCCACGGCTGCCATGCTGTTCTGAACTCATGGCATGAAAATGAAGAGTTTAAGGGCAGGGTCTATGGGACTGTGCTGGAATATCCAGTGGCTCTGAAGTGACAACAACTTTGGTATATCCAACTTTGGTATATCTGCAGGGGTAAAGACCTCCATGTACTTGGTGGAAAAAGTGGAGAGACTTGAAAGTCTCTCAGTATCCCCAGGCTTGAGCTCTAAGAAGGCATACTCCTAGATGCCCCTTGAGGCAGGAAGACCTCAGGAGTGGTATAAAAAGAAGATATGGGAATTAGAAGGACCAGAGCTTTGAGGTTACAGGCCTTCAGCCTGAGCTAGAATATTACCCTGGCCCTTAGACATTGTCCTATGAGCAAAATGGGAATGTGGAGAGAGAAACATAGAAATGTGATCCCAATAGGTCTGAGAATGTTTTAGAACCTTTAGTTTTCTATAATTTTCCCAGAGACAAAATTATTGTGGTATGTGATATGCATGGTTGTGCTTCACAAAGGAGAAAGGTAACTGAACTCTTATTATTGCTTCTTATCTCTTTTATGCCCCATTTGTTTTCTTCCAGGGAGAAAAAAACCAATTAAGGAAGTAGCAGCAGACAGAATGCCAATAGTATGAAGAGAAGAAAAGGACCAGTACTAAGTCAAAATATCAAAATTATATGCAATAAAACCATTTTCCAACTCTTTCACTGATATATTCTTTAATTAAAATTTTTCTGTCATCATCTGTCCACCCATCCACCCACCCATGCATCCAGTTAATCATTGACCATCCATCCATCCATCCATCCATCCATCCATCCATCCATCCAACCACCCATCCAACCATCCATCCATCCATGCATCTATCCATCCATCTTCTATACCCTCTATCTAGTGGTTTGTGAATGAGATTTCATGTAAGCACAAGCTAACTACCAACCTTTTATAGAAGCAGCAATATAGAAACTTCCGGGATGGATTAGGCTTCTGTGTGACAGTTTTCAAGGCTAGATACCAGATTTCACATGAGAACCTGAAAAACAACACCGAGTGCAGACAAAGCATTTGGCAAATAGCAGGTACTGTGGAGACCATGTTCTTGAATGAATGGTGATAAAAGCACTGAGAATGTCTCCTCAGGTCTGTCCTGGAAAAGCAAGAGTTAGCTGAGGCTTCACAAGGAAACACAAGGAAGAGCAGAGCTTTGTCCGCACTGAAACTGTGATGTGAATGTGTCCTTGCTGAGATGGTGAGATTGGGGTACCCAATCCTCATCAGGATTTCTGGGAAAAGATAACTGTACTAGGGGTTTGAGCCAAATACTTCTAGTTTTGACTCTAAACATTCTTATTCTAGCTTTGCCAAGTTTTGGCCCTGTCATCTCTGCACTTCATCCTCCCACCACTGTCACCAGCCTCTGAGACTAAGGGCATCTAGGAGATATTGAAGACTCATTTGGATGCTTGAGGTTATCCATGACTTTCAAGGTGATGGGGGTTGTGGGAATGACTGGGGTGCTGGGGGATGTCTTACCAATCTGAATAGGGTTCAACCTCAGACTTTAGAAGGATTGATGAAATTAAAGGGAGATAGTTTTTGGAATTCAGAAAGTATGTCAGTTTCGTCAAATCCCAAAGTCTTAAGGGTTTCTTTTCAAGATGTGTAGTGGGTTTGTCCACAAAGTTGTGTGGATAGCTGATTGTAGATGGAATCAGTTTCAGTCTGTGAGTGGGTGTTGTCAATATTCTTCCACTAATACCAACAAGCATGCTTCCTAACTGGTTTCCCAGCCTTTATTTGCTGTATCCCCTGTACAACCACATCCTTTGCTTTGAGATGCCCAGGGTCTCCTTTCCTTGTCATGCCAAAGAATTCAGAATTTGTGGCTTCCCACCAATCTTCTAGATTCATACCACCTTCTGGGGGTTCCATTCACTATCAGATATCTCTTCATATTCTCATGTCTTCTCAATTACTCTTTACCTTCTATGGAACTCTCTTGCTCTCCCACTCTGAACCCTAACTCCTGCTGCTCTACCCCCTAGCCCAGGAGCCATTTTCTTTTGCCTCCCTCTTTCCTGGGTCCATTTAATTCCTCTTCTCTCATTGGAATATTTCTTACACTTTTTAAAAACATTGATTCATCATTAGCTTACGAGCTGATTGAAGTACAAGATTATAGTTTCACATCTCTGCCTACACATAGAATTTTCCACTCCCATCACCAAAGTCCCATGCTACTGCCAAATTCTGGACCCCTTCCTCCTTTTTCTCCCTTACCTTTCCCTCTGGTAACCACCCTGGATTTCACAGAATCTATGAGTCAAGTTTTGTTGTGTTTTGCCTGTTTGTTTGCTTTATTTATTTATTTATTTACCATGTGACTGAAACCATCTGGTAATTGCCTTTCCCTTCCTTATTCTACTTAGCATAATCTTCTCAAATTCTATCCATTTTAGCCCATCAGGCACAATTTTATCTGTGTTTTTAAAAACAGCAGAGTAGTATTCCATCGAATTTGTATGCCAGATATTTTCTGTCATTTATTTGTTGTTGGGCATTTAGGTTGAGTCTGTGTTAGGCTTTTGTGAATAATACTGCTCTGAACATGGGGTGCGGATAATGCTTTTTGAATGATTGTTTTCATATCCTTTAAATAAATACCCAGGAGTGATACTGCTGGGTTATGTGATATTACCATTTTAATTTTTGTAAGAAATCTACATACTGTTTATTGAAATATTGCTTCCTTTCTCTCTTTCACTGACTTATTCAGACAGAGAGGTTTTGTGGCATGTCAATTAGTAGGCTTCAATACGAATATGTTCCCTGTAGCTCCTGCTGAAATAGAGTTGATGATAACCCTGTGAGAGGGTGAGGCAGGGGCCTGCAGATAGGATTCGGAGGGTGGGGAAGAGGTTCTGACCATGTTCACAGAATCTTACTTGTGCCTGCATGGATAAGGAAGTGGGCAACTAAGGTTTGTGGCATGCATGCTTTGCTAGCTGCACACATCTACCACCTTAGGTCTTTATGGGTCTGCTGACACAGCAGATATTGAAGAGGGCTCTGAATTCCTGCTCAGAATAAAATAATCTTGGAGCAGTGAAACTATCCTTGAGTTCATTTGTAAACTACTGGTTAGGATTCCAGTAAAATAGATGCATGGCAATGACCCCTCTTGGGGTCACTTGGAAATCCACTTAAAGGAGCTGGAAGAGAGATTGGAAATAGATAGGGGTTTCTCCTCAGTAGTCAGTGACGCAAACCTTGCCACACAAAATCTCTGGGAGGCGCGATTGAGTATGGAGCCTTCTGACCTATGTTTTCAGGAAGACGGGGATTCTGTGGAAGAGTCCTTTGGTGTGTGTATGTCTGTGTACTCTGTGTATTTGAGGGTGGAGGAATCACATCTTCTCCCTTTCCATGCCCTCTCTTGTCCTTTGGGCATCCTTTCTGACTTTGTGAGCCTGCTAGCTCCTAATCACAGCTTTGAAGGCCACACTTGCCCCTCAAACACTACTCACTTCTTTCCTGCTGATACTGAGACAGGAAGTGCCCCCTATTGAAAGGGCATTTGCTTGACATTTACCAGAGAGTAAGAGCTCTTGTGTTTTATTCCATACTTTTGTCAAAAGTGAGTTCAGAATTTTAGATGTGAGGACTTCCTGCCACAGTGTGGAGAACTGTGAGTTGTTTGATACTTCTCAACACAGAGACAAGTTCTCTAGATCAGTGTTTAGTATTTTTATTATTGTATTAAAACTTTATTTAGAAGTATGAGGGGCGAGAAAGAGAGAAATACATCTTTGAGAATGAACATAGGCTTCTCCAGAGTGGAAAGGCAGACAAAGAAACAGACAAGCAAACAACGTAAGTTCAAGAACACAAAGGCAGACAAAGAAACAGACAAGCATACAACGTAAGTTCAAGAACACAGGCTTGAAGAGCAAGCTAGGTGGGTGCTTCTTAATCCCCAAGGTGTCCCTCTTCTGGCTTTGCTTCCTTCCTGTATCACACTCTGTTATACCAATTAGCCCCTTAGTCATGTGTGTGTGTGTGTGTGTTTGTGTGTGTGTGTGTTTTCTAGGGGCTATGTCTGGCAGTGCTCAGGGTTTATTCCTGGCTCTGTGCTCAGAGATTACCCCTGGCAGCACTCAGGGAAGTCTAATGGGGTACTGGTGAACAAACCTGGGCCAGCCACATGTAAGACAATTGCCTTACCCACTGCACCAGGCCACTTAGTTTTAAGCCATGGCTCCTAATTTATGCGATTTTTCACCTGTGGTGGTCCTCATCATTGTAGTCCCTGGATAATCTGTTTCACTTGGAGTGTCCTTTTTTTTTTTGCCAGCCATTAACACCAAGGCTAACTCTGGTTTTAGGACTTTGTGTGATATTTAAATATTTGTTTTTTGCTGTGAAATATTTCAAACACTTTTAAATTTTTTTTAAATTTTTTAAAAATTTATTTTATTTATTTATTTATTTATTTTTGCTTTTTGGATTACACCTGGACATGTACAGGGGTTACTCCTGGTTCTTCACTTGGGAATTACTCTTGGTGGTGCTCAGGGGACCATATGGGATGCTGGGAATCAAACCTGGGTTGGCTGTGTGCAAGGCAAACATCCTACCCACTGTGCTATGGCTCCAGCCCCTCACACTCAGTTTTAATGAGTCCTAAT